GTAATAATATAAACATAATACATATTAAGAGTATTTTCACCTCTTTTTTTTTTCATACTTTCTAAACATTTTGTTTTCCATTACAATTTCTGGCCTAATTTCATTTGTCTGTTCTTTATTATACGACGGTTTTTGTTTTTAGTCTTAATTATGTAAAATTAAATAAATATTATAAAGTGAGGAGATTATGTTCAGTTACACTTTCATTACATTAGGTGTTAAACGTAACATTTGAACTCGATTATCATTCAGACGTTTTAATTCTTCTCGTCAGATGGCGCAACCTCTGTTGTTAGGCCTAAGGCTTATTACATTATTTACAATCATAATAAAGTAATTCACAAATCAACTTTTTTTTACTATTTTCAACATAACGAAAAAAAATACCACATAAACAAGTTAACTTTGTAAAAAAAATTTTGTTTACCTGTAACACAAAACTATTAAATTAGGGAAAAAATAACTTTTAATAGAATAAAGGAGCGATATTCAAGATCATTCCAATAGTATGTATAACTATATACTTCTGAGAGCGACATCTATGATGTGTTATCCTATATTTGCTTTTATCTTATTAATTAGGGGAAGAAAAAAAAAGAGCTCGTGCGCTGTGACATAAAGCAAAAAATTAGTCTAGATAGTTTTATTACAACAGTAATACTAGCGTTAGATAAATGTTCTGCTAACAAAATAGCACATTTTTATCAATAAAAACCGGAGTTAGAATAGAAATAGTGACGTATTATTTTAGTGGTTTTATAGTTTCAAATTGCATCTTTTTTTCACCATTTACGTTTTACATCCTTGTTTAAAAGAAAACAATTTTTGCACTAATGTAAAGTGAATGTTCTCGAGTTTGTATGTGATCAATATATCATCACAAGTTTTAAGTACGTATATTATAATTTCCTGTTTAATGTGTAATCTAGTGAATAACTTAAGACTGTTTAGTACGTTTTTTTAACACTTTCACGGTTTTTAAACAACTGAATTTGAATGCACTAAAGTTAGCACGATAACATGTATTTTCCATACGTATTTGTTTTAATTTACCTATACTTAATGAACTTTCAATAAAGTATCATTGTCACAAATTGGACAAAAATATTTCTTTTGTGTTATTTATTTACATATACAATGTTAGCAATACACTGACACTTGACGTTGAAATTGTCACAAAAAAAATGAACCACTGTTTTACAAGTCCTGCCATCTAGTGTTCAGATATTTAACCATAATACTGATCGACACAGGAAACTGAAAACCTACTTCCGTGCTCATATTATATGTTAAATACTATTAACGTGTATAATATGCGTTTTTCACAATCTTAAGTTTTTGTAATATCAGCTTTAAGTTTCATACATTTTAAATTCTGCTTCTATTCATATTTATAGTGTGATTTGTTTTTGGAATGGGTGGTCATCAAATGTGTGTGGATGCAGTTCATTTAAGTGAAGGCTGGAATTATAAGGGCTGATTTTAGTATTTTATTCCGACTTTAAAGTTAGTTTAACGAATGGGATGATCTTGATGGACCAAAAAGATAAAGCCATAACCGTTTTATTTGTTGTAGTATTTTGTTTAAAACCGTGCATCAAAAGCTTTGGATATTTCAACAAGTAAAGAGAAAACAACTCGTAAAATAACGTTTAAAAAAATACAAGTTATGTCATGTTGCTTGTTTGCAACTGTATTTCTCCATTGGAATTTTACACATTTTTTTTTGGATGTGCTCAGACACGTTTATGTGAGGTACATGGTTACATTTTCTTTAGATTTATTTTAAAAAATGTGGCTACTCTATTTTATCGAATATTTGCTCCATTTGTTTCATAAAAAAAAAATTGTTTTGTTTTAGAGTTGCACAAACTAAAAAAAAAAAACTTAGTTTTGTGGGAACCATGTCTAGAAAAATAAATACTTTGATAGTTCATGAACAATTCTGTACAGCTTCATTAAGTCAGGCTCAAAGCATTCTCAAATTTCTATTAAAAGTATAGTAGTTGTACTTAAAAAAATGGCCAACATTAAAGATGAGAAAAGTGGCAGTTTAAAACATCTGTTAACAGTATGTAAGAGTCAAATATCTGTAAAACGAATGCTACCATATCGGTAGTTGTTAGAGGGGGGGGGGCTGAACTTGACATTAACACGCTTATTTCATTTTCAATAATATTATTACATTTCTTTATATTTAAAAAAAAAATTATGAATTTGAAATCTAGGGTGTTTGGAAGAAATTATCATCCGATAACATATTTAAATTCAACTATGCACAAGCGTTGATTAAGCCAACAAACTTTAGATTAAAAAATTGGTATTTTATGCCAAATCCTCTTTTCAAAACGTTTATTACAACAGTTCGTACCATGTAAGTACACTTTACACGACAAGTCAGACGTAACTTTTTACTCTCTGAGGAAAGTGTTTTTTAGCAATGACCTTACCTCACATTTGTGACAATGTTTCAGGCTTCGTGCTGAGTGGTTTTTCTCATTTTCTATACAGACTGGAAGAAGAACTCGGTACAGAGCCTGAAACTTTGTCAGCAACAGACACAAAACACAAACAGTCCACAAAAAAAACATCCTCAAATGGTGACCACCTAAACCTAGAGAAATATTTTACAGTCAACTAAAAGTATTTTTCTCTTATTTCACAATTTCTTGGAATTTTTTTACAATCCTTAGCTGAACTGCTTAAACAGCTTCATTGTTTGTTCACAGAATATATTACAAAAATAAATCTTTACACTTTGATTCTGATTATACACAAAATAACAAGTTTTGAAACTTTGGAGTAAGAAAGCAAACAGCTTCCATACTTTCTCTCAGCCATAGTTGTCTTTCAGAAAAGCACAGATTAAATTATTTACTATTTTTACTGGAAGTTAAAAAACTAGTAAGTATAATTGTACAAGTATTAGTAAAACAGTTTACTATGAAATAAAAAATATATATACATACAGCAATATGTAAAGAAGACACTGTTACATGTACATAACATTTGAACACCAGTCTCTGTACATGTATAAAATACCAACACACACACACACACATACATATATATATATATATATATATATATATATATATATA